CCCACCAGGGCCTGAGAAGTGACTCTGTGAGTGCCTGTCCTGCCTACATTGTGTGAGCCCTTTCCCTCCATCACACATCTTTCCTGAGCGAGACGAGCATCTTCAGTTAGTCTGCACATTTCACTTAGACAAACCTGGGGTCTGTTTAACTTTGGGTCAGTCCTTAGCTAGTTAGTTGTTGGCTAATTTCCAGATGGATATGTTGCCCCGCTGGTGTGGATCATTTGATTGAGCATCGCCTCATGCACTGAGAGGTCGTTGTTTCGACTCCCATTCAGGGCACATGCCCAAGTTTTGGGCTCAATCCCCAGTAGATGGCGTGCAGGAGGCAGCCTATGAATGTTTCTCTCTCAACGATGTTTCTCTCCCTCTCCTTTCCTCTTCTCTAAAAATCAATAAAAACATTTAAAAAAATACACAGAGATGCTAGGTAAGGGCATTTCTCATCGAAACCATTTCCAACAAGCCTTATGAGTTCCAAGGAATGCGTGGGAGCAGAGACGGCCCAGTGATTCATGTGTGTATGGTCAGCGGGGAATATGCCTAAAACTTCTTTGGGGAAGAACAGTGTGCCTCTAGATGTGACGTCGTCATTCCTGTAAGACTGTTGCAACCTGCTCCCAAAGTGCCCTTCTCCTGAGCACTTATTTCCTAACAGATGATACAATGGATTCATGAATGGCGTTGACTGTCATTTGTTCCTCCCGCTAGGATGTATGCTCCAGGAGGGCAGGAATCTTTGTTTATCATCGATGTATCCCAAGTGCCTAGAATCCATGTTTGCACATACTAAGGTGCTCACTGAATGAGTGACTATTGATATGAATGGATATATTGAATGAATGAATGAATGCTCTGCCCAGGTCTCAGCCTCCCCTGATAAAGGGAGAACAGCTGTCCTAAGAGAAATAGAATTGGGCATTGGAAGGGCATTAGGATTTCCTCCAGAGAGCTGGCCTCTAGGGTACAGGCTGCCTCCTTTCCAGTGTCTGGGCTGGATCAGGCCTCACCTCAGATGTCATAAACACACCTAAGCAATAGAAAAGGCGGTGCCTGGAAAGCACTCTCGTCCTTCACGTGCTGTTGTTGAAATGTATTCTTCCTCAAAGGAGGTTGCCATGATATGGTCCCACAGGAGCACCGTGTCAGGAGCCCTGGGCTCCCATTCCAGGGACCTTCGCTTCCAGCTGCATGAGTTAGGGTCTGTCATTAGCCCTCCCTGAGCCTCCGTCTCCTCATCCCTAAAGTTGGGCAGTTATCCCCTCTTCACCGCGTGTGTGCCAAACACTGTGCCCCGACACCCCGAGGCCCTCTGGAAGCAGCGCCAGGCTGCGAGAGCTCGGAAGGCAGGCAGTGTGGGTGGGTGCCATGAGCCTGTCTCTGAGCCAGTCTCCGGCCTCCCCAGGAAAAGATCCAGCACCGCCCCGTGAGTTTTCTTAGGGAGGATTGTGCAGCACCCCACCCCCACTCCCCATCCCAACCCAAATCCCCAGTAAGTCAGGAAGATGTATGTGTTTTAAAACATTGGGAGGTCTGCTTTGGATCACCCTGGGCTGTGGCTTC